CCCATGGGTAACCCCATGGGTAATCCCATGGGTAACCCCATGGGTAACCCCATGGGTAATCCCATGGGTAACCCCATGGGTAATCCCATGGGTAACCCCATGGGTAATCCCATGGGTAATTCCCAGGGTAATGCCATGGGTAATCATTCAATGGGTCCTCCAATGGGTCCTCCGATGGGTCCCCCAATGGGTCCTCCAATGTGTCCTCCAATGGGTCCTCCAATGGGTCCACCAATGGGTCCCCCAATGGGTCCCCCAATGGGTCCTCCAATGGGTCCTCCAATTGGTCCTCCAATGGGTCCTCCAATGGGTCCTCCAATGGGTCCTCCAATGGGTCCCCCAATGGGTCCTCCTATTGGCAACCCAATGGGCGGCCCAATGGGCAACCCAATAGGAAACACTATGGGCAACCCGATGGTAAATCAGATGGCAATGGGTAACACTATGAGCAACCGAATGGGCAACACGATGGTAAATCAGATGACCAATGCAATGGGTAATCCCATGAATAATCCAATGGCGATGGGCAATCCGATGTCCAACATGCATGCCATGCCGCCCGACATGATGGGCAACTACTGTCCAATGGGGCGAGACGTGGGCATGATGAATCCGGCTATGATACTACCCTATGGCCCTTATAAGAATCCACACGAGCCCTTCCACCCCATGGAGATGCAGGATGCCATGAATATGAGCATGCAGATGAACATGGGCATGAATGAGAACTACAATGGACCCATTGCGGGTATTCCGTTTGATGATTGTAACCCGATGCTCCATCCCAATGTCTACATGGCCAACGATTTGATGGGCACGCCACCGAACGATGGCAACATGAATGAGTGCCTTAATGAGACCTACAATCCGGTTGATCATCGCAAGGAGACTAACATCCATCACGATGTAACAGCTGGTGAATGTGAATCAATCAACAAGCTCGCCGCTGGTGGAAAATCAAAACTAAATTAGATCTACATTTGCTTACACACACACACACACATACACACGAGCAGACACGTCAGTACTGACTCTACACGACATCGATTCAACATTTATTAGTTAGCGATCCATGGAAATTGGCAAGCAAACACGTTTCCGATGCGAACGATTTTATTCATATTACTTTCCTCATATATATATAAATATGTATATATAACACAAACACAGAGTATACATATTATATATATATTATGGTCATGTATATGGACATATATCTGTCGCGTGTCTAAATCGACCTCTCCATTTGTAACAGTTAACCACTCATACACTCACACGCTCCGCTTGTACACACTTTTACATACTTTTCGACGAATCACAGACATCTTGTATACACACACTTACGCAAACGCATACACATGCATGCACATACACACACACACACACACACACACACATACACACAGCGCAGCAATTCGCATACACGTATTAGAAGCAATTAAATCATATGCAGCTTTATCGCATTTGTCTTTTATTTTATAGCTAAGCAGCGAGGAGAGATAAGCTCAGCGGCAGCAGCAGCAATACTAGCAGCAGTAGCAACAGCAGCAGCAGCAACAGCAGCAGCAGCAGCAACAGCAGCAGCAGCAGCAGCAGCAGCAGCAGCAGCAGCAACAGCAACAGCATCAGCAACATCATTCACCCTCGCAGCCCTTGTTTATAGGGTATACTTTCTGTATATATCATTTCATATTCATATAACGATGTGTAAATTTCAAATCGCTGCATTAAGTTTGCATTTTCAACATTTTACGTGTAGCGAAACGCGTGAAACCAAAACCCCGGCCAATTGCGCCCACAAAGTTGAGCTACATCAAAAAAAAGGCGGCCTGTGTGAAGGGTTGAGGGAGCGGGGCTTGGGGGATGGTGCCGTGCTGAACCCCTTGTGAACCCTTTGAACTCGCTGCGTGTGCAAGTTGTTGCTGCTGCCTTCGCTGCTGTTGCTGTTGCAAATGCGAAGTTAAACGCCTTCAAGCTGAAATAATCGGGCTAATCTTTTACGCTGCTTGCATTTTAAAGCGCTACCCACTTTTTCTTTTTTTTTTCGTTGCTTCTAGCCGGGCTTTACTTGACTCCACTCGGAGGGGGCTGGCGTACAGGAGAATAAGGTTAGGGTTTAGTCGGTCTGCATTTTGCATGCATGCTTGCGCTTTGCTACCTTTGTCTCTACCCCCTGCTTATCTCACTCTTTCGCTCTACCCCCCTCCCTCCCTTTCTCTCTAGCCACATGTGTGCTCTGGTTTTTTCTTCAAATTGTAATTAAATGCGTCGCGCAAAGACAAATAAAAAACGAATTAAAAAGCATTTACAGGTAAACAATTTAAAAGCAAATAAATATGTGCATTTTAATCAGTTCCATATTAAATAGCAACATTTTTGCTTATTGTATTTGAATTCAGCTATAGTTCGACTTGAATATGAAAAACAATATAAGAATGTAGGAAAATAGTAATATTTGTAATATGATATATAAAATAAATATTTAGAGACCAGTAAGTAGTGAGAGATAGATAGATAGATAGAGAGAGAGAGAGAGAGAGAGACAGAGAGAGAGAAAGGGAGAAATAAGCTATAGAAAAAGAATGAGATAAGTAAGATATTGAGAGAGAAAGCTACAGGAAGTATAGATAAAATGAAAGAGAGAGAGAGAGAGATGGCGATAAAGTTACAGAGTAGGGCCAATGCTATGCATGTATTCCTATTTATAATTTAGTTAATATCAATATTAGTCTCAATTGCACTTATTGGCGTTTCACTGTACAGCTTGTATTTTAACATTAACTTGCTCCTTTTTCATTACTTTTTTATATGTATATACTATATTCATTGGAATCTATAGTTTGACCAGAAAATTAACGCCTGCATGACCGCACTGCATGAATGCAACCGCATTGCTACATTTTTAATCTACAATTAACCGCAACTGTTTGGTCCTCTGGCAGCAGCGGTGGGTGGATGGGATTGGGATTGAGCTCAAATTTGGGGTCGACAGACCCGGGTCCAATATCAATATTGATTCTATTAATTATAAAAACATTAAGTGCCAGCCAACAAATGTAATTAAACGCATTAAACAATTGCAATGTGCGAGAAATGGCGTTAAAATGCAGCTCGGCCAGGCGGTATCCGCACTGCAGTCGTCCTGGCTGCTCTGCTCCTGGTTCGAGTTCAGGTCCAGGTCCAGGTCCGGGCTCGGGCTCGGGCTCGGGTTCAGGTTCAGGCTCAGGCCACCCTGCTGATGCGCGCCGATAAGCACGTTTTCAATTCACATTCGCAGGTGGACGCCAGCTACTGCTGTTGTTGGTGGCCTGAGTGGGGAGGGGGCGTGGCCGGTTGCTGGGATTTGTGGCGCACGGCTGGCCGGCTGGCCGGCTGGGATTGTCGCACATTAATGACGAAATTATTGTTTCAATTGCTTTCAACTGTTGTCAATGCAAATTTTATGCAAATATTTTTCGGTGCCATCGGACTCTTAAATGCCATTATGGCCAATAAGTCAATAATTATTGCCATGGCAGTGTGTTGTTGTAGTTGTTGTTGTTGCCACGTTGTGTTGCAGCTATTATGGGCCTGAGCCTCTGCCCCGGTCTCCGTCTCATTCAATATGGCCAATTCCCCGAATAGGCGTTAATTACTTTTATCTACGCATTGTCACACTACAATAACAATTACAACAACAACGACAACAACAATAACAACAATTGCTGATTGTATTTGCCAACATTTGCTCAAATTCGTTTATTAATTATTATTTATGCACTTTGTTTACTTTGTTTGGCCGCATAAATCAATGGCTCAATTGTTGTATTTAAAATAATTAGAAATACTTTTTCGTTGATTTTTTAACAATAAAATATTTTTTTATTAAAGATAGATTAGCATATATACTATATAGATATGTTAACTAATTCATAGTAATTTTTAAACAAAATGAAGTAGCCATAATTCAACGAGCTTCATCCACATAGCCTTCATCATTTATGTATCTACATATTTGACTCTGAATAAGAGAATACAAACTTGTAGGAGAAGACGAATATTCTGGCAATTACTATAATTACTCAAGTTTTTTATTCGCGAGATCAAAAGAACAAAATAATAATCGTTCGGTCTCGCTCTGAGCAAGAACTCTTCGGTTCTTTTCGTTCCTTTATTTCAGTTCATATTGAGCTGCTCGTGTCACGCTCTTTTAGCGAACATCGTTTAGGGAGGAGCGATACGATTGATGTTCGCACAGTGAGAACTGTGAGCAATTACTCACACAGAAGTCAATGAAGACGGACTTTACATTTACTTTATTTCACAAGAACTAAAATTGTGCAGAGAGCTAACTTTAAGAGAAATTATCAACAACAAAAAAAGTGGAAATTTATTTAGCTATATTCCGAGAGAATTACTTGTATTTTATATACGAAAAGGCGAAAGAAATGACTTCATTGAAACCATAAAAGTAAGTTTAGGTAAATATTAAAATTATAAGCTTAACCCGCCAACAACTTTAATAGAATTTTTAGCAAGGGATATTTTACTATATCCCAGCTATTTACATAGTTTGGGCTTTGGGGCATACAAACTGGTTTTCTGGCTTGGCGAAATGTGAGCAAACGTAATTTATATGGCCAATTGGGCAGGAGACGCCAAGGAACTAAATGGCTGGACTTTTCGCAGTAGCTGTTGCTCCTGCTGCTGCTACTGCCGCTGCTGCTGCTGCTCCTGCTCCTGTTGCTGCTGCTGTTGTTGTTGCCACACTCTGTCTACGGTCCAGCTGTGGGTCGTATAATATAATTAATACTATGAATTACTTGAGCTTCGCACTAAGCCAAGCTGAGCGCCACGAACCCCCCATGTGGGAGCTGGCCTCAAATGGAGGCAGCGAGAGGGTCGGCTCGCTTGGCTAACAATATTTGTTGTTGTTGCTGTTGTTGTTGTTGTTGGGTGTATTCCAACACGTTGCTGCTTGGTCAGCCACATGCACTTAATTGCTTTATGAGGCGGTCAGTCGCTTGTTATGGACTTCAATTTGATTTCGCGCAAGTGCCGGAGCAGCAAGTGTGTTTGTGTATGTGTGCGTGTGTGTGTGCTGTGTGTGGCGGCTAAATGAGACATTGGGGATCAATTATTTTGTCGGCTCATTGCCGCAGGCCAAAGACAAAGGCCGTTGAACCAAGCCAACCCCACCCACTCGATCAATGCAGATTTTTCAGCTGATGCCAAAGTTTTTTAATCATGCTGATGGTACGATAATGATAATGATGATGATGATGATGATGATGCTGATGCGAGAGACACGTACCAAGTGCGCAAATATTTTATGCCAGTTTACTGCACTTTTTCACCAAGGTGCGAAAACGCAAGCCAAAAGAACATAAATTGAGCGAACTACGAAGCCAATGTAAAGGATTGCCCAACTACAGGATACTTTCTATATGTGACCTTGAGCTCTATACTGAGTGATAGCTTTGAATTAATGAGAGGTTCGAAATAAAGCAGGTTTGAAATAACAAGAATCGACTGTATATCAATATTTCGTAGATTTATTTATTTATTTATATGTAATTTATATGCAATTAGGTATATTAGCAACAAAATTGATGATGATAAAGTAAACTTTGTAATATGCTACATACAGTTTGACACGAAAGTGTTTTCACTTGGGAAAAAAATAGCAATTTTGTTCTTTGACATTAAAAAAAAACTACTAAATGTGATATTTCTAATTTTTTTTTAATTACATTATGTTTTTCAATTTGTTGTCTTACAAAAATAACTTTAAAAAAATTAAAAAACTATTAACATAGGCTTAAATAACAATAACAACATAAAAGATATTCAAATTCAACTGACACGAAAGTGTTTGCACAAAAATAAAGTATTCAAAATAAGGCACTATTAATTATATTAAGTATCAAAATTAGTATTTAGTATGACCCCCATTGGCTTCAATGACCGCTTCCAACCGTCTACTCATGGAA